CACACACACACCCCACTACACACAAGGAGCACCCACACACACCCCTACATTGGAGGAACCCGTGACCCACCTGTGGGCCCTGGGCCGCCCTCGTCTACTGAGCTCCAGGCAGCGTCTGGTGTGCGGCCAGAGGCAACAGCAGGCTGCCGCACTGCCTCCCCTGCAGAGGGCTCAGGCCAGTCAGCCCACCCAGCCAGCCACCACTCTGCCTCCTGCCAGGGCCGGGCCCCACGCACCCTCCCAGCCTCTGGAGCTTGGGGTTGGCGCCAGGCCCCTGCACCTCCAGAAAAGGCTTCCCTTCCTGTTCTTGCGGGGGGGGGGGAGCAGCCAGGCAGGGTGGGCAGAGTCCCTTGACGGGCCTCCCCTGCGCCACAGCCCCTTCATCCATCCACGCAGAGCCCCACACGAGCTTCCTCCTCCCACGGTTCTACCAGTGGAGGTGCCCCAGCCCCCACTGGGTCTACCTTAGGAACCAGTTCCTTGGGACTCAAGCGCGCGTGCGTGCGTGCGTGCGTGCGTGCGTGTGTGTGTGTGTGTGTGTGCACATGCGTGTGTGACACTCCTGGGCTTGAACTCTGGGTTTGTGAGACAGTCCTGGGCTTGAACTCTGGGTGTGTGTGTGTGAGAGAGAGAGAGAGAGAGCGAGAGAGAGAGAGAAAGAGAGAGTCCTGGGCTTGAACTCTGGGTGTGTGTGTGTGTGTCTGTGTGAGAGACAGTCCTGGGCTTGAACCCTGGGTCTGGTGCTGTCCTTGAGTTTGTCTGCACCACGCTGAGCTGCACTGCTGCCGGCTCTTGGTGGTTAAGAGGCGGGCACAAGTCCCCCACCATCCTGCTCACACTGGCTTCAAACAGCGATCCTCCAGGCCCGGCCGCCAGTTCTTTTATTGTTTTTTCTTTTAGGTCCAGTCGTGGGGCCTGAACTCTTGGCCTGGGCGCTGTCCCTCAGCTCTTCAGCTCAAGGCTAGTGCTCTACCACTTGAGCCACAGCGCCACTTCCGGCTTTTTTCTTTTTGCTTATGTGGTGCTGAAGAATCGAACCCAGGGCCTCAGGCATGCAAGGCAAGCGCTCTACCACTGAGCCACCTTCCCAGCCCTCTTCTATTTTTTTTGGCCAGTCCTGGGGCTTGAACTCAGGGCCTGGGCCCTGTCCCTGAGCTGCTTTTGCTCAAGGCTAGCACTCTACCACTTGAGCCACAGCACCACTTCCAGCCTTTTTTGTGTATGTGGTGCTGGGGAATTGAACCCAGGGCTTCATGAATGCGAGGCAAGCGCTCTACCTCGGAGCCACCTTCCCAGCCCAGCAGTTTTTTCTCCCACCAGAAGAGAACCCTCATCTGTGCCACTGCACCCCCGGGGCCTGGTGGAGGGGCGGGGGTGGGCGGGTCGGCCCCGGGCTCCAGCACAACTAGCACAAAGGCTACCACAGGACTGGAGCGGCGGCCCGCGGGGAGGGGCGCTCCCGGGCGCAGTGGTCTGGCTGCTCCGTGCAGTCCACAGGTGCGGGGAGCGCAGGCCCCACTTGCGCGCGCCTGCGGAGCTGCCCTTTCAGCCGGCAGGGACCACCCAGCCCAGAGGCCCCAGCTCTCAGCCCCTCCTCAGCACACGGCCGGGCACTGCCAGGCGGGCGCCGGGACAGGGCCTCTGCCTCAGGAGCTCCATCACAGGGGGCAGAGGTCAGCATGGACATCAAGGAGCAGGCAGGCCAGGGCTCAGCTGGGGCAGTGGAGAGGAGGGGCCAGGAGGGGCCACAGGGGGTCCCCAGAGCACAGAGGGGGATGGCCGCTTTCGTCCACAGTGAAAACTGCGTTGTGGCCTGGCCTCTCCTACAGCTCAGGCCTGGTTCTGGGCCGGCACACGGGGGGGGGGGGCTCCAGCATGCATGGGAGACCCACAGCTGTCCCTCAGGCAGGGGCAGAGGTGGGGAATCAAGGCCCCAAGAGCACTGTGGGCACCCCACACACACACATCCACGGGACTAGGAGGCAAAGCCAGGCCAACGTGGTGCTCTAGGCCCTCAAGGAGAGGAGGGGGAGGGGAGAAGTGGGGGGAGGGGAGGAGAGGGGGAGGGAAGGGGGGAGGGGAGAGCCCTGGCCTCCTCCCACCTCCTTAGTGGCTGCTGTGAGGGCTGGCCTCCGGGGGCTCACACCTCTCACACCTGGCTCTTAATGGTGAGAAGGCTGCAGGGCCAGTGACACCGGCGGTGGGGACACCTGGGTTCCAACACTTGATGAGAAACTCTGAAAAACAGAGCCATGGACTGTGTAGGGGCCAGGGTGCAAGGACAGGGCCTTCGCCGCCCGTGGAGGCCCAGATGCCCGCAGTGAGGGCTCCTGACCTCCTCACTGACCCATGCTGACCACCCATCAGCCAGACCCGGTCCACACATTTTACAACCAAGGCACTGCAGCCCACAGATACCAGCTGCTCGGGTCCTGGGCACAGGGGCTCCCCTCCGGGAAGCCCAGCCCAGGAAGCCTTACCAAGGGGATCGTGAGAGCAGCTGTGGGTCCTGGCATGAACGCAACCACAGGGGCCTAGCCTCTCCCGCAGGCCTGGCAGGCAGAAGCCCGTCCACACCCAGCACCTGGGGCAGGCATGCTCCTCCGAGCCGCCCCGCCCAGACTCAGCAAGTACAGTAAACTGATTCCCAGGAAACAGAGGGCACGTGTGGAAACTGAGTCTGGCCACAGGGCATGGGAGTGGGAGGGGGCGGGGGCCCTGCTGGCCCCTGGGAACCCACTGACCTAGCCAACACTCGGCTCTGCAAGCCCACGTTCCACCCAGAGCCGGGTGGCAGGGCCCCCTCGGGCCCGCCTGGAGCCCACCACACCCATCCCACGGTCGGAAGGCCAGGGAGAGGTGTGACCCCAGAGGCAGGCCACGCAGGCAGAAATCACAGCACCTGCGGAGAAGGAAGTGGGGGGTGGGGAGACTGGGTGCCCACACGGCCTGGGGCAGCTGAGGCCCTGGCCCTGATCCCCGCTGCCCCCGGCTGCCCCGGTTCATGTACATGGTCCTTGTTCTCCACGGGTGCTGGACCCACATTGGAGTGGGGCCCAGGCCTGGGGCCGCTCTCACCCTGGCCGGCTGAGTACTAGGACACGTCACCAACTGGGCAGGCTCGGGCTCCTGGGCCAGGAAGGAGGCAGCGCCTGACTCTGGGCTTCATCCCATCTGCCCTCTGGGCATAAGCAATGGAGTGGAAAGGAAAAGGAAGGTGAGCTGGGAGCTGGGAGCCTCCCCCACCCTCCCCGAGGCCCCCAGGGACCGAGGGACAGACCCCAGGGAATGAAGGGCTTGTCCTTCAGGAGGCGTCTGCTCTGCCTTTGCCAACCCTGGCACGCACAGCCCCTCAGCTCCTGGACGCCCATGCGCCCTGCCAGCCTGGGGCTCAGCCTGTCCCTTGCCGTTGTGGCCATCTGCCCGGCTCAGGGAGCTTCCTGACTACCAAGCACACTATTTCTATTTATTTATTTTTTTTGCTGGTCCTGGGGCTTGAACTCAGGGTGTGAGTCTAAGCCCTTGAGCCTCTTTGTGTTCAAGGCTAGTGCTCTACCACTTGAGCCACAAAGCCACTTCTGGCTTTTTCTGAGAAATTTATTGGTGACAAGAGTCTTATGGACTTTTCTGCCCGGGGCTGGCTTCCCAGGGTCTCAGATCTCAGCCTCAGATTCCAGCGTAGCTGGGATGACAGGCGCGAGCCACCGGCGCCCGGCACTGACAGTAGTTTCCCTGGCTCCTCGGCAGTCCGCGCACTGTCTCTCGGCCCTGATGCCAGACCACTCAGACTATTAAAGAGCCATCTCTGCACCTGCCTAGGGCCGCCAGCCAGGAGGCAGGCAGGGGCTGCCTCAGTCACTGAGCTTTGGTGTCCTCACTTAGAGGACCTTAGAGACGGACGCAGAGAATCCCCAGCGGCTCCCACAGCAGCTGCTCTGGCTGGGTGCAGGCCTCTGCCCAGGAGACCAATTTGGGCAGGAATGTGGATGACTACCCTTTGCCCGTGGCCTCTCCAGGTCGGTCCTAGTCTTTGCCCCTGGCCTCCCCAGGTCTGGCCTGCCTCCGTCTGCAACCCCAAACAGAGGCGGCCCAGCTGACTCTTTCTAGCCAGGAAACTCAGAGGTCCTGAGGACCCCTAAGGGCCCAGTCGCTGAGCTCCACTCATGGGCCACCAGCACCTCTGGGTGCTTGTGACTGACCACCCCAAAGTAGAAGGTGGCTCACTACCCTCCTCCTGCAGACAAGGCTCCTGCCACTCCACAAAGATTCCCACCACCCGCCGCACCACCCGCCGGGCCAGGCACTAGGCGGTGGTGGTGGGACCCCAGGCTAGGTTTATGTTCTTCCGTCTGTCACCTTCGTAACCAAGGCTGGTCACTGCAGCCTCTAGGCCTGCAAGTGCGTGAGCATCTGTGTGGGGGTGTTGGGTGTTGGGGGCTGACTCAGCACCTCACTTCCTCTGTCCATGTGGACAGGAAAGGGCACGGCAGGCCTGGGGTGCAGCCTCCTTCCTCCTGTCCCTGCCCTTCTCACGCTGGCCTCCTTGGGAGCTCTTCCTTAACTTGGGCAGCCTGGAGGATGCCTGCAAGATGCCTGATCAGCATGGACACAACCACCTGTCGGCTCTGGTCAGCTGTGGTCTGCTCCTCTGCCAGGGCCAGGGGACGAGCAGCCAGACGCGGAAGGAGGACGGAAGAGGGGTGGGAGTGCATCCCCTTAGATGCAGTCCCAGTCCTGGTCCTGCTAAGAGTGCAGTGCTGACCCTGGCCCGTCCAGCCACGGGACACAGCCCCGGCCTGCCTCTGCGCCTGCAGAGCCTGAGCCAGCCAGGACAGACACCTGCCCCGGTGACCCCGCGTCCCCACTGGGCTGGCCCAAGCCCAGAGCCCTGCTCCGGGCCCAGGACGAAGTCCTCGCTCACCTCCTCCATCACCATCACCATCACCACCACCATCATCACCATCATCACCATCACCATCATCACCATCACCATCATCACCATCACCATCATCATCACCATCATCATCACCATCACCACCATCATCACCATCATCACTACCACCACCAGGCAGGTGCGCTGCCCGGGGCCTGGTCATCCGCGCCCCACGTGACCTCACAGGTCCATCCAGGAGGACGCCCGCGGTCCCGCCGGAGGGGCAGGCTGCGAACGGCCCCGTCCCCCGCCCTCCGCCGGGCTGGGTCCCACGGGCCGCACCCTGGTCACCCAGGAGCGAGGCGCGCCCGTGGCGGCTTTCCGCCGACGCCCCGCCGGCCGGGAAGGGAAGTTCGGGTGAGGGGAGAGGGCGAATCCCCGGCGGGCCTCCGGAAGTGCCCTCCGCGGGCCCCGCGCCCGGGCCGCCCCCCGCCACCAATCCGCGCCCCAGGCGGGACACGCTCCCGGGACCCGGCCCGGACAGGGCTCGTAAGGGAGTTCCGCACGTCCACGTCCCGCCCCAGCCCCGGTGCGGTGTCTTACCGCACTGGCTCGCCCCGCGGAGGGACCCGCGTCCCCAGGTGGCGCCCGACGCCCGTCCGAG